TTTATTTATTTATTTATTTATTTATTTAGCTAGCTCCACACTAACCTTTAATGGTTTTACTGGTGATGTTGGTTCAGTTTGACAGTTTCCTCCCAGCCTGCAGCACTAACAACTCTTTTAAATAAAACATCTAAAAGCACAAGTTATTTCTGTTTACAGCTTTTTTATGCTTCAAACATCCAAAAACTGAAAGAAACCTCCTGGATCACATTAAAAGCCATAATTCTTGTGATTTTTTTATTTTTCTTACCTCAAAAATAAAAGCACAAAAACTCAAGTCTGCACTAAAACTTTTGCACAACCAAGTGAAGTTTGCATGAATCAGAGCCTGAAATGTTGGGTTTTAATGTCAATAAATGGATTTCTGCTCATTTCTGTCCTGGTTTTATTTTCCTGGACCTGCAGGGGGCGCCGCTCAGCTGAACTGGACCAGGTCCAGTCTGAACCGGGTCCAGTCTGAACCGGGTCAGAGGAAGCCCAGCCCTGAACTCAGAGCTGTTCTTCAACACGGTTTTTCTTCTTCTTCCTCGGTGATTTTCAGCTTTAAACTCGTTCTTCTAAACAAAGAAAGGACAAAAACAGCGTGTTTCTGTTTTAGTTGGTTTTAACTGAAGCGGGTTTGTTTTTATTGAAGTGAAACTTTTTTACATATATTTTTTGGGATAAATCAGGTGAAAAGAGGAAATGTCAGCTTTAAGTGTGTTTCTTCTGATGGTCAGCCTCCTGATGGTCGTGTCTGCAGGTGAGTTTAACCCTGGTACCATGGATCAGAGTCCGGTCTGTTTGGACCCCAGTCCTGCTGTGGGTCCGTTCAGTCACTGTGGGGGGCTYCTTCCCACGGACAGTCCTGACAATTCAGTGTGAGCCTGTTGTCACCAAAACTATTACTGTTTTACTTAGTGGACATGTACGACAGAGTTAGGGCCACACATATTTTATTTAATTACAAGATTAAAGTCATAATGTTACGAGAAAAACGTCATAATATTGTAGTCTTAACATAAAAAACCTGCAGTTACTGCATTAAAATGAAGAATGTTTATGGGGTAAGACAACTGTCAGAATCATTGTATGTGTAAGAGTCTAAGTTTGTACATGTAAGTCTATAAACGTACATAAGTTTGTTACAACTTTGTCACATTACAAGTACGAATCAAATTTACAAGTACGAATCAAATTTACAAGTACGAATCAAATTTACAAGTACGAATCAAATTTACAAGTACGAAACAAATTTACAAGTACGAATCAAATTTACAAGTACAAATCAAATTTACAAGTACGAAACAAATTTACAAGTACGAATCAAATTTACAAGTACGAAACAAATTTACAAGTACAAATCAAATTTACAAGTAC